TCCAGTTACTAAGCATATGTCAATCGAAAAAAGAGTATTCTAAAATAAGCAAAAGCGTATGCTCATAGATTTCCTAGAAGATAATTCTCTATACAGTTTTAGCATTTTTAACTGGCGAAGATAAATGTATATATTATCCAATACTGCACATCATAGGTATTATGAATTTTGGATATGTACGGAGCTCAAGAAGCCACGTTCTCTGCAACATGCATCGGTCAAAATCAAATTAAGAATATCATTTACACTTATTTATTAATATACAAAACACTGTTTAGAATTTTTCGAGGTTAAATAATGTTCAAAATCTATACAGCTCTGGAAGTGGAGAAGGAGAAGACAAGACAACCCGCTTTGAGCAATTTACTGCTAAACCTCTCTTCCTCCCTCGTCCAAGAATATTTGTTTCCCCCTTCTCCAGTATTGCACATATTTTAGTGCAAAATTTTCCTTCGCCATTTCCATGACGCTTCTCCTAATCTGAGTGGAATTAGCATCCGCTTGTGTGCAAGGAATCTGCTTTGCAATGGTTCTTAAGACAGTATGGAAGGGCATGAAATGTTTGAGGAAGAGTTAAAGATGACTATTAGCATTTTTGACGATTTTTGTTGCATAATCCACAAGGTCGCGAACTGTCCATCTCTTGCAGGTTAGCAAGGCAGCTGCAAAAATACTACACTAACTGCCACAGTCATGATGCCATAGTGACCGCTTAGGCTGCCCTTAACAATCTTACATATGGTCAGGCTCTAGTCCTCATCAGAATAATCAGATATTATCTAGACAACAAAGATCAAGACTTAGAGTCGAGATTTTAAGCAAAGAATTCTAAAAAACTCTCTTGCTTAGATTACATGGCCTGTCTTCAATCGTCGTGCAGGCCCCAATATCGTTTCTATCCATTTCTGTCTCTCACTAGTGTCATCCATGATGTTGGTATTGAAAAACTTCCATAGCGTTGTCAAAAATAGTTGTATCCATCGAACAGAGCAAGGAATATCTCTTTCTAGACATTACTTGTTCAAAACGATTTCAAGTTCTACGCTATGTTATTAAAGCAGACTACAAGTGGCAAAAATTTCACTGGTTGAAATTCTTGGGGTTAGTTACGAAAATGTGGGAGCAACTGGATTAAAAATAATCCGCTAGACAGCAACCTGCTATCAAATATACTTTGACTCATTCGTTGTTTGTTTTTCATGACATCTTCGAAATTCAGAGCTGTGCGAAAAGTCGGAACTTTCGCACCTACTTATACTTGTAGCAAACTCGTTTCTCTCGCATTGGTTTGAGGAAAGAAAATGCAAAGCTTG